TGAATTACCACGTACCGGGAATTGTTTTTAAACTTTTCGGAGTGTCATTGAGAAGCCACATCATTAGAGCGTATACCAAATGCGAATTTTTATTTTGTCAGCCGCAGACGTCACAAAATAATCTTAGTTCTTTAATTTCGGGATCAAATCCTACCTCGCTCAAAAAATCAGTTGAAGCAGAACTTAATTCTGTTACTCCTCTACCAGCTTAATGTTCTAGCCAAGTATAAAAAACAGGATTTTTCATGGAAATGTCAGTAATACAAAACGCATAGAAAGAGGACTGTTGCGCATATAATGCTTCTTGGATTGGTGCTTTAAGTAGAACCTGGACTTGTTGTAGACCAAAGCAATATGTAGCACTATTACTAGGTTTCTCCTTCATTAGCTTAAAAAATTGCTTAGACCGAGTCTGGTGGAGTAACAGATCAGTCTTTAGCTTTGATTTTTTAGATGCTTTTTCCAATTTCTGTTTTGGTTCTTATATAGAATCCGCATACATCTGTAGCTGGAGTTCCAAGAGCTAAAAACATGAAATTTTGTCAGAACAAGGATTATTATTTTTATTTAATCTTACCTATATTAAACTTGTTGTTAAAGACCCTGCTGAAGTATTTATAGTTTACTTGTTGCAACTTGTCTTTAACTTGAGCATTGTACAAATTCCAAAGCTTTCTTCTAATTAAGGATGACAGGTAAATCCTTCTAGATTTACTTCTATTATAGTGACTTTCTTGGCCATTTAGCGATGCAATAAATTTTGTTACAATTTCCAGTTTTGAAGCGTATTTTTTTGAATGCCTATCTCCACCTCGCCTGTCTTTAATGTCCGTTCCCGCCATTTTTTTCTTCGCTATGTTAGGAAGCCTTGTTTGTCCACAGTTAAAAATAGACAAACATAGTTTTTGACATACAGGAACTCTCTTGTTTTTATTCCCAACCTAAAAAAAATACATTTTTACCTGCCATTGTAAAATTATTTGACAGTTCTATGTGAAAATCACGAGATTTTCCATTTTTTCTGCCTCTTTTCCTCTTGGTACCTTTAACTTCTATCATTTTGGCCAATTTTTCATCTTGTCTATTTATAATTTTCTCTAAGTAGAAATTATGTTTTAAAGATTTTACATCAAACAACGATAGTTCCTTGCATTTAAATTTTTCGGTCTTATGTTGGCACTTCAGATCAAAATTTAGTAGTTCTAGATCAGGATCCGAATACCTAATGACTATGTTTCTTATCTCTGTTCGACGGTGTTTATTGTTTATGTTTTTCTTTCTTTTTCTGGTACCTCTGTCTACATCGCCCACAACATGCTCTCTTTCGTTCATTTTCACTGAGGTATTTAATTCAAAAGTATTTCAATAGTTCGCCAATAACAACGCAACGCTAACGCGAATACTAACGGACAGATTTTAAAATGAACGTAAACATATCGTAAAGACGAACAAACAGCGTTTTGTCCTAGAAAATATGATTAATTTGTCTCCCGGCTTTAGACAAAATACACTTAGTTTGTCCAGGTTTTATTGAATGTTAAATTGAAGTGGAACAAAATGTAGTTAGATTGTCTGTGTTATGGAAGTTGTTAAACGGGCAAAATAGATTGCAACGCCATCTATATCACAAAATCTGAAAACATAAACAAAATACGCTTAGAATGTCTGCTCCTCAATTATAACGAATATTAGACACAGATCCAGTTTCTTCAAATTTTCTTATCAACTCAGCCACATAGTTACCGTTAATATTTTTGTTTAGATGTAACGCATTGAACAACCGGGCAACATCTCTTGCAAAGCTCCCATTTTGGTACTAGTTTTGTTATTCAATATTTAAACCGAAAGCCGTTGTGCAGACTGTAAATCTTGTTGGTAAAACTTCGCTTGAAAAATTGTTGAAATTTTAAAGGAGACAATATTATACCCTTCAATGTAACATTTACTTCGGTGCAAAATTCTATTTTATTATAGAGGCATACCGGTTGTTTTGGAATAATTAATCTGTGATATAAACGCGCTGCATGCAGTAGCCTTCTATTACGACTATACATATTTAACCACCCTGCATCATACAGTTTGTGAGTGACCCAGTTTGGTATGCGGATACCATACACTAGGCTACAACAGGAATTTTGCACGTTTTGTATCTTTTGTTTGTAAAGGGGGGTTAAACGAAGACGATGCAACATCGGTATAGATTAAAATTGGAAGAACTATCGTAGAGCCCCGGAGATAATTATTTTTAGTTGAAAGATAGTTTATATTAATATACAGGGTGACTTCGAAGTTGAGTCATTTATTTTAACAGTGAGTAGATCTGATCAAAAGAAATGTTTTTTTCCTTTACCATTTTTCTGGTAAAATTAAAGTAACAAAGTTATAGCCCTTTTTAATTTTGAGTACCGCCCTGTCTCACTAATAATATTATGTGCTCGTGTTTGGCGACAACGGATATAATTCGCCTTATCGGTTCATCGCATCGGAAACAAGAAAGCGAAAGAATTTGGAACGATGTTTTTACAATTATTTCATTCAGTTGTATACAGTCAGTGTCAGTCGGTAGTGGATAGTGGTGTCTGTTGCGTGGCTCAAACGAAATAAAAAATGGCACATGTTTATGCGGATCGGTTTCCCAATCGAGTGCAACCAACCCCTCGTGCCTTTGTTAATATAGTACAACGGGTTCGTGAATCATTTGACTTAAGACCTCACATATGGACGGCATGCCGGTGCTCCAAGATCACACGATCAAATACAGGTCCGCACTGAAATACTTGTCGGGAGGATACTTTATAAAACAAGGTAAAAATTTTTTTTTATTTTTTTTTTTATTTTTACACACATATTTTGGTTTATCTTCCTTCTACAATCATTATCTGAAAATTAATGACTCAACTTCAAAGCCACCCTGTATATCAATTTTAAAGCATATTTTTCTGCAACAGATAACTAATATGCGATTTAAGCCTTCTTTCTCAATCAGGAACAACTCCACGACCTTTTGCTTGTTCTGATAATGAAATGTGGACATGCTCAATTCAACTAACGATGATCCGTGGCCGCGCTTATAAAGTGATTGATGTCAATGGTTAATTCGGCACAACTTACCTGTACTTCTTTTTTGAACAATAGATACACCTGCATATCGTCAGCATAGGGGTGCAGTTTAGCATGTTTCAAAGTAAGAGCTAATTGACTTGCAAATATGGTGTACAGTAAAGGACCTAACTCTGAATCTTGAGGTACTCCATAGCCATCAACTTCGAAACCTTACCACTTAGATTCGGGAACCTTCGCGCTAGCAGTACTTCACTAGATTTCGCGTCTTCTTTGAACCGAATATTGTGTGCCTTGTCAAAGATATTGGAAAAAATTGTTTATATGCAATTGGTAAAATATTTTGAAGAGTACCACATATTTCCAAATTGTCAGTCTGGTTTCCGTAGTGGTCACAGCACAACATCTGCATTATTACACGTAACTGATGAGATTATCTCTAACTTAGACAATCATATTTACACTGTGCTGGTGTTGTTAGATTTCTCAAAGGCATTTGATACGGTTAACCACGAAATGCTTCTATCCAAATTAAAATACTACGGACTATCTGATGTTCCTCTTTGCTTTTTTAAATCATACTTAAATAATCGCAAGCAACGAATAAGAACAAGCCAAGGAGTTTCTCTTAGTGCCGATGTTGCTTCTGGTGTTCCTCAGGGTTCCGTGCTTGGTCCTTTACTATATTTAGTTTATACTTTTGACTTGCATACTGTATTACAGTTTTGTAGTATTCATACTTACGCAGACGATACACATTTGACCTTCACTTTTGACTCTACTAATGTGGATCAAGCTTCGTATAAAATAAATTTAGATCTGGTAAATATAACTGACTATTGCAAGGCTAACTGTTTGAAGCTCAATCCTACCAAGAGTTTTGCGGTGTTGTTCTGTCCCAAAACCAGCTATGAGCATTTTGAAAGGATGATTGATTTGAGGGTAAATAATGACCATATTCCACTCGTCACGCATGCAAAAAGTCTAGGTGTTACTTTAGACGTAAATCTTAGATTTCATCACCACGTCAGTAATACATGTATATCTAAAGCTACATATGCAAGCCTAAGACTCCTATACTCCAATCGTTCTATTCTCAATTTCAAGACTAGAAAGAAATTGGTGGAAAGTTTAGTTATGTCTAAGCTGCTTTACTGTTTTATACTGTTTTATCCTTGTCTTGACTCCATAACAAAAACCAGATTGCAGAAAATTCAAAATTGGTGTTGTCGTTTTGTTTTCGGCCTTCGTAGGTATAGCCAAGTTACATCCAAGATCTGTGAGCTGGGGTGGCTGAAGCTCAATAATCTTTTCAAGTTTCATATGTTGGTTTTTGTACATAAAACAGTCGTTACCAAGAGACCTATTTACCTTGCAAATAAGTTAGTTCCGCGTAGGAATTTAATTTCAAGAAGGTTACGTCATGATGAACAGTTCAATATTCCTCTTCACTACACCTCATTATATCAGAGATCTTTCACGTATAATGCTGTTGAGCTTTACAATTCAGTCAGTGCGGCTAACAAACAAGAAAGTTTACTCTCTTTTAAGAAATCAGTTGGAAAACAGCTATTGGAGATGCAATCGTCTCTCAGTGTTTGAGTTGTTGGTTTGTTTTATTTTTATGACACTTTATTATTATTATATTAATAGTTCAACTGTGCATTTGTTTCTTTTTCTTATTATTACTATTGTTTGTTTGTGTATCGAGTTTAACTGTGTAACTCTTTCGTACACAGTGAGGTTAAGTGTAAGAGTAGCCATTTGGCTAAACTTCGCCTCACTGATGTATGCTGATTAATAAAGACATTTATTATTATTATTAATGAGTAATCGTGTATTTGTGATAAAGGTAAACAACCCTCGAATAACCGTGCGTCTTAGGCTGCACTTGCAAAAGACCTCCACTATTCTCGATGGTTCCTACCACCGCACCGTACCATCGATGGAACCACCGCGCGGTGCCATGCGGCGCGCATTCACCAATAATCAGTAGTCATACGGTACCGCTCAAGCATACTGCACCAATACCACTTTTACCTTCCGGAACTATGACTTAAAGTTACCGCACGCACGTTTTTTCGATACACCGTGCATCATATATGTGATGAACATTTGTAGGATGTGACTGCTTAATGTGAAGTTACCATTGGATTTTTCTGTACATATATCAACTATAAATATCTTCACGCAACTTTAGAAATTATTACCGGTGAGTTTTTAAATAGTTTTGGTACAAAGCTTACAATCGATCTTAGGATAACTTTCCCCTTAATTTAAAAATCTCGATTATATCCTTCCTATTTCAATGCTTTGCAGCAGCGGTGGCCGCAGTAGTAGACTCTTCGGTCTCCTGATCAGTCGCCGTGCGCTGTGCGCGTTCGAGTCCCGTCCCAGGAGAAATGTTTCTCTTGGTTATGGATGTTGTGATTGTCCGTAGGTGGTAGACGGTCTCTGACTGTCGGACGCGGAGGTACCACCCGGCGAATCTCGTAGGCGGAGCCAGAATGTGTGCAGTTGGAGTATAAAAAAAAATTATACAGCTATTGCTGTTAGGGTGGTATTTGACTAACAACCCAATTAATTCTTATATGACGTAGCTCTAAAGACCAGATCTGTGACATTACACAGTCCAGATGGCCAATTCATCAGTTTAAAATGGGAAATTAACAGCTTTGTTAGTGCCATGTCCTGTGATAGCTCGAAATCAGATGCTCTGGAGATCATGGACTTGAAGTTCACGCAGCAAGTATTGTGGTATTATGTCGCGATAGGGATCGCCAAATACAACGCGAAATGCTCGTCGTCGAAAATTGGAATACAAAACGGACCACAATGACCGCACTAACAGCCACCTTTTAGAAAAAAGTAATCTTGAAGAACTGAATCCCAAAGGGTTGTTTTCATATTTTTTCTTTTGAAAAAATTGCGTCAAGTAGGTTGACTCTGCACTACGCAACGCCGTCATCAGGTCATGAAGGAAGAGAAAAAAGTCAGAATATACAGAATAGAGTAAACAAACGGATTAAGTCACAAACAGGACTATACAATTAGTTCATAGGATTCTTTTCCTGCCCTACCGGAACTTACTGTCCATCTGACAACGTTGTATGTTTCCACATCTGCGCGACTCCGCCCAGCGCGGCATCGCTGCACCGAGTTATCGGTCATTTCGTGTATGGTCCGTGTATATGTTTTTTGCGCTACAGTAAGGATAGACTTGTCAGCCAGACTGATTCGCCAGGCGGTGAACTTAGATAGCAGTAGTACGCGGATCGAAAATGCTTCTCATCATTTTTACGGGTAAATCTATCATGTATAAAATATAACTAATAGTAGCATATAATTACCGGGGTTAAGAGAGTATAAATATACTAAGATCAAAAAATTTTATATACCCTTCCCAACCCCCACATGACCGATTTTCGAAAACTATAAAGCTTTTTCGTTCTTGGCCTAATAACAACCTTGTGTATTAAAATTCGCACAGTGGCATAGCAAGTAAAAAGTAATAAATGAATTAATTCACAGTTATATGTAGTAGCAATTATTTGTGGAATTTAAAAAATTTAACAAACCACGCAAACGCCCTTATTGTAATTTTCGTTATAAATATTAGGTACCCAATTTGTTACCGGCGAATTTAAAGCTTTCAAGAGGATCTTAAACTAACTTCACTGAATAATATGTATTAAGAATTTTCATTGTGCCGACTCCTTTAGAAAAAAAATTCTGCATCCATAAATTGTCACAATGTTGTGATCTGCCCTGCCCCACCTGACAAGTTACGATGATTCCCATGAGTAAGTCGTCAGCGGCAGCGAATAGCTAAGATACTCCCCTGCATCTCCTGTAACCTTCCACCGCCTAATGTCTTTAGGCAATTTTATTTTCATCTTTCTCGCTTTCAGCTCGTAGCTGCGCCGCCACTGCATAGATTGTCAATAACTTCGAAGCTTCTCCTTATTGGGAATAGTAGTAACTTCATGTCGAAGTTCCTTTAAAATACGAGCGGTACTTTTCGAGCTATAGAGGGGACAAAGATTAGAGGACAGATATATCGACAGATAGACAGACATACCGACAGAAATTAGTAACACGATTTTTCATGACGTATGTCATCTGACGCGATGTTCAAAAATATATTTTATTTTCGAGATTTTTCGCCAGTGGGAAGTAAAAACGTAAAAGTTGCGACCGCAGAACTTCCTTTCCCTTTAATTTGATTTTAATATCGTAGGCGCATGCGTAAGGCTTTGTCTTACATAGTTTAAAGATCATCATGGGTGACGTTCTTCACTCTCGATAGGCTGTGTAAACCGAAACCTGGCGTTCTTCATTACTCTTGCCAGCATAGCAGACGCTATGTTGGCAACTTCTTCCTGGATGTTGGTTTTCAATTCTTTCAGGATCCTTGTATGGTTCACATAAACACGGGAGTTCAAAAAATCCCATACAAAAAAACCACCTGGTGCCAAATCGGGAGAGCGAGCGGGCCACTCCTAATCCCCTAATTGAGATGAGACGCTCCCCTAATCATCGAGCTATGGAAAAAACTCCTGCCAAATATTTACATATCGGTCTGACTTCACTGTCACTGCGACTTCATTTTCCTCATAGATCGAGCTGAGTTGACCAGTTTTTAAGGTGGAAATATCTTCAATAGTGCTTTTACTAGGTTATATTATAAGGCCTTTCTTTGATCTTATCAATTATCGTTGAATGAAGGTTAAAAATACGTTCAGGACATCCAGAAGTTTCCACAAGGAAAACCTCTTGATTGCTGTGCACAATGCCCCACCATGGCACAGCTAGCCGCATTTCACCATGGTGGATAGAGTTGTGCTATTCCTCTACCTAATTAAACCTAAAGCTGAATCTACATAAACCTGTCGTTCAATTCTGTTATCTTCATATTTTACATTGTTTACATGTAAAACTGAATAGAAATGTCCGGCAACAAACAAATATGAAATGTTCACGCATAATTTAAAGGTCAAATCCAATTGATTAATGGACACTACAATAATTATGTATTCAAAAAAAAAAACGTGACATCTATAACCATGTTTCATGTGTACCAGAAGTAATCCACCAGATAATAATGACGAGAAATGAACTGTAGAATTATTCTTATATGCTTTGACTTTTCTCGTGTCAGTGAATGTAAGGTCGCGTACAGGGTGAGTTTACACTGCAAGAAGATTGTGGTGCAAAGCTTGCACGATGACGTCATCTCTTTCAGGGGCAAGTAACTTCCGCTTGAAAAAACCCTAGAAGGGCACACATTTCGTATTTACTTTTTTAACTTATACAGGTTACTTCATGAACGATAGTAATAATAAAACTGGTCTAAAAGTTTTTCCGTGTATTTTTCTTGAATCATTTCAAAAAAAATCAGGTAGTACGAATAATGTACCAGTGTACATCTATGTAAATTATTGTTGATTATGAAAATGCTGAAAACACGATTTATTTTTTCCTAAACTTAGAAGCACCTTGCAAACAGTACACATCCAATCAGTCCGAATCTGTTTTTTTGAGTTGCTGCAGTAGACGCAATAACGTCTGGTGGTTCTTTGTGGTTGATGAGCACTCTCTATTGTACGTATTTCAACAGGCACGTATTGTTTTGACCTCTTAATTGCAATTAGTTCTGAGCTAAGTGATGTCCTTTTCATCTTAACAGTACAATTGGTCAAAATACTACTTGTCTTCTGTAATCCTTCATCGATAGTTCTGGCAAACTCAATTCTTTATACAAAACAAAGGAAGTTACAACAGCCATATCCAATAAGTAAAGAAATATACGATGCCACCACTTTTTTGATTTGCGAATTTCAGGTCAAATATATTTATGTTGCTAGGCTTATTAGATGTTTGATGACAATATAAATTAGTTTGAGAAACTATGTCTTCTAATACAGCGTCGGTGAAAAAAATCTGAAATAGTTCCTCCGGAGTAGGAAAGTCCAAATGTGTCACTACATCAGTTATTCCTGCGTCAGCAACGAAGTTTCCTGTTTTTCTTGTACTCTATCTTTGGACCAAACACGAGTGTCCTCATTTTGTGCCAACTTCATTTGAAAAACTGATAGAGGAAAGTTACACTCTGAATCTGATTCGCTGTCAGACTGCAAAATATTGGTAAAGTCAGTATCGATATTTTATACTTCATCTTCTGACTGGTCCATGATTAATCCAGAATCTGAAGGTACCGCCTCAGCGTCAACATCATCAATTTTGCACATTAATTCAACATAGGTAATTTCTACTAATTTGAAAGGCAATGAATCCACTTCCACTCCCTGATTAGAGAAGTATCTATTGAGAATCGGTGGTACAAATAAAGTACATCAAAAATACGTCAATTTATTAATATAAAATTCAACAGGCTTATAACACAATACGCCAGTTCAGAATTTTGACAATCGAGTGGTATTCTGATATTAATTAATTACGTGGCCTATTTTATGTACCACTGACCCATGACATGCACATCTATCTAGGTACCAGGACATCTGAAAGAGTTGTACAGTGCTTTCCAAAAGGGTTATTCTTTGAACGAGTCAAGTCAGCAAGCTGAAGTGGGCGATGAAATTGACTCATTGATACCATATTTTAGCGTAAATATGGCAGCTGAAAATTTCAAGATGGCGGGTGGCTCACCAAAACCACTAAATACCTAAAGATTAGTTTAATGATGAGCTGAAGAACTTGAGGCGGAAATGTGGGTTTTACACCCGTTTTCCATGAGACATTCTCTATATCCGTGAGAAATAATAATAATGGTAATAAAGTATAATTCTCAAAACATGGTACCTCGCTATAACTGGAGATAGTACTTAATTATATACAAAGCTATGTTTATCGCACCGCTGATTGCTCATTATAATTTCATAACTACGTTTCATGTCCAATGTTATGTAGAAAGGAATACCATGTATTATCCTTTAAACAATTGAAAAGCAAAATTTAAAATAGCCAAGCATGTGTCTTTTGTTCTATACTGCTTTTATCCGTCTGACGAACTAGCCTTCCGTGTTCACTTTCGCAGTGCCCAGTTCTGGGAATATATCGCGCTTTTTGTTGCCGCTACTACTGATTTCAACGAACGTGTAACCCAGAGACAGTACCAGTAACAATTTTTCCAAAGTAGGAAGGCTGGCCATCTATATATTTCTGGACATAAAACGGTTAACCCTTTCCGTT